GAGTGCCACGAGTTTATAGACAATTCTTCAAAGGGGAGAGTGAAAAGATTAAGAATCACTGAGCTTAGAGATCGGAAGATGTATAGAGGGAGCGAGGGGGTGTTTGTTGGTTGCTGGCTGGGAATCTGGTGTCTGTTATTGCTCTATATTAACTCTTGCTGTTTATATAGGAGTGTGTATAGTGAGTGAAGAGGTAAGCACGCGTGTGTGTATTTATTAGATACCATAGTGTGGGCGTGTAAGAGAGAGAGAGAGAGAGAGAGAGAGAGAGAGAGAAGAGAGAGAGAGAGAGAGAAGAGAGAGAGAGAGAGAGAGAGAGAGAGGGAGAGAGAGAAGAGAGAGAGAGAGAGAGAGAGAGAGAGAGAGAGAGAGAGAGAGAGAGAGAGAGAGAGAGAGAGAGAGAGAGAGAGAGAGAGAGAGAGCATGATGAAGCTTGGCATCTATGTCACTTTGTTCATCTTTTTATTTTTTTTTTTAGAATTGCTTTGAAGGCGTATGCAAATTATATATCTGCATTCATAACAGTCATGCAGTAAGTTATGATTTAAACTTAGTAATCACACGAGATGATAAGGTGTTATAAGTTAACAGTGAATTCAGCTGTTCATAATCGAGACAACTAGTCGTTATGCTGATTGACAGACAGGATGGTAGGTAAGTAAGCACATACATAGACCTAAGTAGGCACATACATAGACCTAAGTAGGCACATACATAGTAGGCACATACATGACCTAAGTAGGCACATACATAGACCTAAGTAGGCCACATAGACAAGTAGACCTAAGTAAGGCACATACATAGACCTAAGTAGGGCACATACATAGACCTAAGTAGGGACATAGTACACATACTATAAGTAGGCACATACATAGACATAAGTAGGCACATACATAGACCTAAGTAGGCACATACATAGACCACATAATAGACCTAGTAGGCACATACATAGACCACATACATAGACCTAAGTAGCATACATAAATAGGCACATACATAGACCTAAGTACACATACATAGACGTAGGCACATACATAGACCTAAGTAGGCACATACATAGACCTACACATACATAAGTAAGTAGGCACATACATAGCCTACACATACATAGACCCACATAGGTACACATACATAGACCTAAGTAGGCACATACATAGACCTAAGTAGGCACATACATAGACTATAGCACATACATAGACCTAAGTAGGCACATAATAGACCTAAGTTACATAGACCTAAGTAGGCACATACATAGACCTAAGTAGGGTACACATACATAGACCTAACACATAGACCTAACACATACATAGTATACACCATACGCACATACATAGACCTAAGTAGGCACACACATACATAGACCTAAGTAGGCACATACATAGACCTAAGTAGGCACATACATAGACCTAAGTAGGCACATACATAGACCTAAGTAGGCATAGACCTAAGTAGGCACTACATAGACCTAAGTACACATACATAGACCTAAGTAGGCACAGGACATACATAGACCTAAGTAGGCACATACATAGACCTAAGTAGGCACATACATAGTTAAGCAGGCAGGCAGGGTGGGAACTAATAATAAGGAAAGCATTTTTTAACAGAACTAGATATTAACTAGCCTTTATGTCCCCTTGCAGTACGTGGGTCCTCAGTTCATAACCTCCATACGACCGTCGATGGAAGAGGAGAACCAGTGGAGTTCCGAGCTGGAGGAGGCGTGGGTCCTGCTCTTCCAACACATCGCCTACCTCATGAAAAGCTCCATGAGGAAAGAGATGCAACAGTGATTGTAAGCCTGCATCACCAACACAGACATAGAGGGATACTATCACGCACTTTCTTGTTGTGAAGCTTAGACACGTGGCTCTGTAACCGGTATCACATCCAGGAAACGTAAGAACAGATAACCAATCACTTCACAGAGCTAGGATTCAATTCGCTGCGCTTTGGTGTTATAGGTTCATCAGGATTACATGCAACCACATTGCTACAGAGGTGCATGTAATTCTAATCGAGATAAAACATCAAAACGCTATTGCTCTGTGAAGTTTGTCTGACCATTCATACCTTTCCTATATTTGTGGCAATGAACTCAACGTCACATCACTGCAAAAACAAGCTTGAAATAATCATTACACATTGTATACGTAAATCAAGCGTTCTTAATTAGCATTATGTGATCGTGTGATCATCTTAACCGTCACCTACTGATAACAGGGTATAGATAAAAAAAAGTAGAGGAAATGCATAGCTCATTTAACATGTAAAGATTATATATTTCTAGGCCTATAGTGCTCAGTGACAAACTGGATCGCTCTGAATAAAACGAAAAAATACAGGATATGAAACGGTGAAAAATATGATAACAGTTAAGATGATAATCAGTTGATGGTATATACCAATAAATAAACATCATTTATTTAAAAGACTCGTGATCTGTATTCTTAAAATTTACATATCCGAAAGAACCACGACGCAATGATGTAAAAAAAAA